AATGACAGTACAGTCGACTCTCGTTAATTAGAAACTCGAGGGACTCTTCAAATATTACGAATTATCGAGTGTTTGAAATATCAAATGGTTCGAAATTTTTGAGAGAAAATAACTAACACACACACACACATACACACAACTAAACAAACCAATTCATGCGGAAGTGTGTGTCAAACTAATTATAACAAAAACAAAAGCTCGATGATACGATGATACGTGTTTCAAATTGCCTTAAAATGTATGTATGTACTTACAATCTTTCTGTTTCTTTCTTCAATTTTGAATTGTAGAGTGTTTAACGATGAGTTCGAATTAACGCGACATTTTGTTACGTAGCAATGATTTTTTCGTTCGAATTACCAAGTTCGAAATATAAAGAGATTTTGTAGGGAACTCGTGATAATTTCGAATTATAGAAAGGTTTGAATTATCGCAGGTTTGAATTAACGAGAGTCGACTATATATACTTAAATCAGCACAAGCGACGCTTGAAATATACACGGCACCAGAGCCAGCTTGGAAGTATACTGCACGCCAGCACATGACAGAAATACCAGGTATACTTTTGTTCCATTGGTTAGGTTCATAAGGTCACTAAAGGAAAAGACAGCTCGAACTAAGTGAGACATGATCAATGCATTATTCATTACTTTTGGAGGCGCTGTACTGTTGTTCGTACATTTAATAGCTAATGCAAGTATATTTTTGGATTTTACGAATGCGAGCGCAGCTTGTGCTGGTGTTAAGTAATTTAATAATATCGCGCAAGTACAATAGAATAAAGACACAAAACGACAAAACCATGTTAAATTTACAGCACGGAAACAGAAATGCGCGATGCTACAGAATCATTTTAAATAAAAAAATTGATTCTAAATTTTGGTTGTTTCAGTCTTTTTTAACGACAATAAAAAAGCTGACAAATAATTTTCATCACGTTATACTGTCTATTGTAGTAGTTAATATCAAAAAAAAATTGTTGTTAAATGTATACATACATATTATAGAGACAAATTTCATCTTCGTGTAGATATATATTACGTAATTTACAAGTAGTTAAATTAATTTTAATTTAAATAATAGCATTAATACTTTTTAATAATGACTTGTCCTTATTGTTACAAGTCAAAACAAATTGAAAGTTCATGGTGCGATGCTAGTTCTAAACATTTAATTTTCAAAAGTTATTATTCCCTCATTAGATGTGTAAACTGATCGAAATCAATGCACATATATACATATATATCACGAAGGGTGCCCCATACATGGTAGATAATAATAATATTTCAATTGCGTATGAAGACTCACAAATTCATAGTGAAAATTGGATAAAATACAAGTCATTTGCGCCTTTTTACGTTGAGGCAGGTAACATTTAATCAAAGAAAAAAATACTGTACAAGCTGGGAATCGAACCGGGACACCTGCGCGAGAGTAAATACCAGAAGATGGCGCTATACGGCCAATAACATCATGTTGTTTACTTAATTTTAAATTTTAAAACACAAGAAAATTATGTAAGAACAAAAATTAAAAAAATCGTACACTGTCTATTAGAGTCAATTTAAAATAACCTCAAATATTACACATTTGAAAGGTATACACCATTTATGGGATATCCTGCAAATAACTCACAATAATTAGGTAGAACTTCAAAGGATGAGCAATTATGGTAAACATTGGAGTATTTTTGCACTTTTAGACTTATTAGTAACAAAATTGTAACACATGTATACTTATAGTAAAAGTTAATTAAAGTCGAAAAAAATTGGCCTTATCAGTTAGGAATTAGATAACAATTAATAACTGGAATTTAGAATTTATTGTTAATTAGAAAATTCAAAAATTAAACCAATTTATCAAGGGATTGAATTTTATAAAACATGATAGGTATTAATGATAAATTAATAATTAATATTAATATGAGAGAAAAAAATAGTGACAACGTATTGTGATCGAGTTTTTCTAGATTGTTGACGGAATTTGATCCTAACATTTATACTCCAGAAGCACTGTCATTTTTTACTCAAATCTTATTGAACATTGATGTATTTATTATCGTCTTCCTTTTGTCAGGTGATAATCGTTATTGCAAATAACTATTGTTATCACATCTCAAGATTGTCTGCTATGTTAATGAAAAATATTACAAATTATATATTTAAATGTTTTATAAATTTTATGGATGCATATAGCTGCGTATATCTGTATATCATATACACATAAAGTTGTCTCATTCTGT